TGGCGAGGAACTATACTCTCATTCTGGCGTAATAATCAAGGAACTTTGCTGGTGTGTGTGGAACTTTGCGTACCATGGGTGCAGCAGTCGCAATGATATTACGCAGCGCCTGAAAATAGGCTTATTGGAAGTTACCTAGCTGGGGACTATTTTCAGGCGCTGCGTAATATCATTGCGCCTGCTGCACCCATGGTATGGCAGCAAAGTTCCTTGATTATTACGCCGGAATGAGAGTATAGTTCCTAGCCATATCGGCCTAGAAAATTGCAACTTTTCATTTTCCGTCGGTCTTAGTACAGGGGATTTGGAAAATTAGCCTATTTTCAAAAATAGTGGAGTGTTCCTTTTAAAGCAACAGCTAAAATAAACATGCTGCCGCTTGTCATTAAACAATAGTTCACCCAAAAATTTTTATTCTGTCATTATTTACTCTCATGTTGTCCCAAACCCGTATTAATTTTTCTTTTGTGCTGAACACAAAAAAATATATTTTGAAGAATGTGGGTAACCAGACAGTTGCCGGTCCCCATTGACTTTGATACTATGGAAGTCACTGGGGAGCAGCAACTGTTTGGTTACCAACGTTCTTCAAAATAACTTTTATGTTCAACAGAAGAAACTCATTCAGGATTAAAACAACTTGAGAGTGAGTAAATGATGACAGAATTTTCATTTTTGCGTGAACTATCCCTTTAATGTTAATAAAACAACAAAACAAAGAGAAAAATTACTCACTGCTCTTGACTGAAGAACTTTAATACAGTTGCTTTAATAAGAATCCATAACTTATACAGTGAAGTGTTTATAGTGTTTTATTTTTATATTTGTTCATTCACTCTAAAAAATGCTGTGGGTTTTTCAACCCAACTTTGAGTCAAATATCGACTAACCCAGCTGTTGGGTTAAATTGTGACATTAAAATTTTAACCCAAAAGTTGGGTAAGTTCATATTTGGCCCAAAGTTGGGTTGAAACACCCCAGCATTTTTTTGTATGTTTGTTTGTTTTCAATTTCTTGAATGCTACTACTAAATACACCTACTGTACCTGAAAAATAATGCACTGTTTGTTTTATTTGTATATCATGTGTATCTTTGTTCTTATTTTTTGATAACAAGATAAAATAATGACAAAGATTTTTTATTTTTGCCCACTCTAGCCTAAATGTCTGCTATTCTTTTTTATTTTATATTTTTACCTTGTAAGGTTTTGTTTTTAAAATAGGGAAATTGGGCTGTACTGCTCAGACAACTTGCAAAATAGTTAAACCATCATGACAAAGAATCATCATAAAATCGTGAATCGTGATTTTCCTGAAAAAAAAATCGTGATATGATATTTTTGCCATATCGTCCACCCCTACACCAGACTTAATTAACCCGACTGACAGCTTATAACAGTGACAAAAAACAGAAACGTTCAAGAACAGTTCAAAATCATCATTAATACGTCTGAGTTAACGTTAAAATATTTGTCTTATATTTATATAAAAGGATATATTGTTAACGTAGGCCTAATACAAATCCAATTTTTCCAAATTACATTTCGATAATTAATTTTAGCTGTGGCTAAAAGTTTCAAACAAAAGTTACCACTTTTTTTTCTGGACTCACCTTCGGGTCGGCCTCATAGTAGAACTGCTGTGTTCGGATCCAGCGGCCCACCAGGTGATCACGCACCGTGTGCGCGAGCGCGAAATAATAATCCCGCGGCGTCGCGACGTTTCTGTCTTTGACCAGCGTGAAGTGCAGGTGCCGGTTGAAGCCCTTCTTCAGCTCTGCCACATTCTCCACACCGACGATCCCTCTAGACCTGTCAAAAACCTTTGATACACTTAAGTGGAAAGGTTCATATTTTGGTTTTGGGAGTCCCCAACCAACAGGTTGACATGCATGCAAGGTCAAAAAACACTTTAATTGTCTTATAATATGCTGATTGGATCTTGCCTGTAATGCCTGATAAAGCAGCGTTTGTGAGCGCAGTGCTGTTTTGTGTAGTGTTACCGGGGAGACCGCTATTTTACCGCTCCTAGTGGCAAAGAATAACTTTTCATTCAGACCAACGCCGAAAGACCAACAACACTCTTAAAATTAAAGGTGCTTCAAAAGGTTCTTCAAGCGATGCCATAGAAGAACCATTTTTGGGTCCACAAAGAACCATTCAATCAAAGGTTCTTTAAAGAACCATCTATTTTTTACCTTTTTGTAATCTGAAGAACCTTCTTTTGCCACAAAGAACCTTTTGTGAAACAGAAAGGTTCTTCAGATGTTAAAGGTTCTTTATGGAACCATTTAGACAAAAAGGTTCTTCTATGGCATCGTGAAGCACCTTTATTTTTAAGAGTGGTAAGGGCCGGCAATATGCTAATGTTTCATGTTGACGTCAACATGAAACTGCTTGGGATTCGTTTTAAGAACGACTCGTTTCAGTGATTCAGACTCGATTACCCCACATTATTACGATTTAAAACATTAACATTATTACAAAGTTTTGCCATTGCAAATTTGCACAAACTATTTTCAAAGGGAAATGACAGAAGACAACTTTATATTGCACCTAATCCAGTTTATTGAGCATAGAACTTTACAGATAACAACAATTTAGACACAATATTAATATTAATAATAATAATACATTTCTTATATTGGGATTAATTTATGAAAAAATACAATTTACAATGGGTGAAAATTTCCCTCACTGCACCCACACATTCAATTGTTTGTTGAGCATAAAACATGTGCTCAACAAACAGATAAAGTACAGCACCTGCTCCATATTTTAACCCCACCAGTGGGATTTTAAATATTTT